TTCCTTTAATATAGAGATACAGGTTAATTACAAGTTTAGAAACCCATTACTAACCCCTGTTGTTCACCTTGCTTCTTGGGATATGAAAGGGCTTGTATGTCTGAATTAAACACATTCATAAAAGTGTTACTTAAGGAATGTTGCTACCAAGCTACCTTTTCAGCATCAGCTTATTCACAAATATAAAATAAAAGTTCCCCTTCTCGTTTCTCGTTGTTAGATACCTTACTGAATTGAATGTCACTTGATAACTGTAGTACTGTGGGCTTCAACAAGTATTCAGTCAAGCCCTTTGACCCTTTCTATTTCTAGCAAAACTTTTGCAGATTTGAGTTGAGCATCTGTTGCAGAACCCCATTAGAGGGGTTAACACAGAGCAGACTGTCTGGGTGGCTTCAGTGTAACACAGCTCAAAATCCCTGTTCCTGTGGCAGGTGCCTAAAGCAGACAAAGCTCCTGCTTGGCACTGTCATGTTTTGGTTGTCTGTGCTGTCTCTATCAGTTAAGCAGGAACTGAACATATATGTGTCACCCTAAAAGTAGGATTAGAGTTTTACATGTGATTCTGCGTTGGGAAAAAGGAGAAGCAGCTTTTTTTTTTTTTTTTCTCAGAGGGAATAACAACATTGAACTCCCACTTCTTCCAGCTCAGTATTCTGATACCAATGCCACTGTTGAGGAAGCTTAATCTCTCGAAGCTGTTATCTGAATCCTTCTACTTGATTTTGTGTTCACTATTCATGTATAAAATCTGCCTGGAATATTACAGATGACCATGAAATTCCTTTAGAATTATGGAAATGTGGGAAGGAACTAGTTTTGAAAAATCAACCCATCCAGTCAAGAAAGCCCAGTTCTTCACTGAACACACCACTAGTATTGGCATAAATTCCTATGCAAGAACAAAAGAATAGCCATAATGGTGTAGGCTCTGCTGAGCATTCTGACTCCAAACAGTAGCCCTAAGCAGAAGTGAATAGTAAAAACAGTAAAAGCATATATCTACTCTAATATTCTCCCAACCTCATATATTAATTCCTATTTAAATGGATTAATTTAATCATTATATAAATAATTTTTATATAAATTATTAACTCATATAAATAAAGAATTACATAGGAATTTCAATATGTCTCTTTTATAATGCCCACTGAATCTGTGTTCCGAGAAGTTCAGGCTCCCCTTGAATCGCTATAAAGTTCTTGCAACCAGAGCATTCTCCATAAAGAAATTGTAGGTGTCACCTACCACTGTCCTTTTTGAAACCATGCTCTTACTAATGTCATTTGATGGTCTGTAGTTCTTGTACAGAAAGACAAGCATGCAAAATCAGTTCTTATCCCTATCCACCCTTCTTATGTCATGTATGATTTTGTAAGCCTCTGTCTTCTCATTAAGAAGGCCGGAGAACATTTTCAGTCAGACACTCCTGAGCTTTTGATCATCCTTGTTGTCTTCCTCTGAATACATTTTAGATCTAATATGTCCTTTTTCAGTTGAGAGATCCAGAGTTGTTTATCTTACTCAAGATGGGGGTGAACTGTGAATTTCTGCAGTGGCATAATGTTGCCTACTTTGTTCTCTTTGTTTTACTTGCTTTCTTGACTGCTGTCAACTGCTGTGATTCTTTATTAACCAATCCATGAAGACTTTCCAAGATGTCACTTATCATGGCAGTTTTCTCAGTAAAGGTAAAGAAGACTCACTTTCTCAACCATCCTACAATCTACTCTGTACCTTTGGTTTTCTTGTGAGTTATTGAAATGTGCATTGTATCACCAGAAGAATGTCGGTATTTTCTTCACAGTGGGAAAAGTCCTTTGTTGAGTTATGGTTTTTTTCCTAAAGCAGTGTTAAAAAATGTTCATAGTCCTTCTTTGGATAGGGAATGATATCGATACAATATATTTCTAAATATATGTATATAGAAAAATCTGCTTTTGGGCTTCCTTTTCCAAACTTTATGGATCTTATTCTTTTCCATCTTTGATAACTTGAGTAGCAGATGATCCTGTTGGCAGAGGGAGGATATTGTGAATCATGGTTTGAGGAAAGTCTAATGTGAGAGTCAGAGCTAAATCACTTGTCTTATCAAATCTTTGTCCAAATTTTTGGGATCTACTATTTCTTACTTTGACAGAATCAGAATTCTGTCATAGTGTGGTCTCTGAGATGATCTAGTTTACATCTATTCCTGAAAGAAGATATTGTTACAGAGTAATTTATTTTCAGAGGCTGTCTCCTGCATGGAGAACAGACGTTACCTGATGTCCTTCTTTAGTCCTCTTGAAATCAGATCATATCAAAATGTAGCACATTAAGTAGCATCTTTCTGCATATTATTTCAGCAGTCAACCATTGAACCTTTATGATCTGCTTATTTTCCCCTATGGCAATCGAACTTCTAGTGAAAAGCTACCTTGCAGTATTTGTTATTAGAAAAAATTAAATCCAATGGAAAAACTAACAACCAGAAACTGGAACTTCAACATGCACAGTGTCCCATGAACTGAAAATTATTTGGAAACTGCTACCTTTAGATGAAAGCTACAACTATAGCCTAATAAAATTTGTTAAAATTTGTAAACTCAGGTATTGCATGCTTTAAGGAATCACTGCTTTCAACAGTGTTTGCCTCAACAGTTTTCTTGTCTCTCAACAAGAATTTTAGAACTTCCCAAGAATTATTTGACACTTCTTTTTCAAGAATTACAATCCAAACTGTATACTCTTCTACCTCATTTTTTTTTGTCCAGGACTGTGAAGATGTAAAAGAAAGACTAGGCCAAAACCTGTGCTCCTTTATAGAACGATCTACAACAGTATCCTTGGACAAGAACCCTAAAAACATGTTTTTATTCATAGTACCACAGACGTCTGCCAGAAGTGATGAATCTCATTGATGGCAGTGCAGAATCAATTATAAAAAACAACTTAGCCATAAAATAATTCCTCTTCATTTTCACTCTTAATACCTGCTCCATATTGTTCTAGCATCATATGAGTATAATTTCTTAGCAGACCTTATATATTCATCCTCATTTACTAGACAGTCTATCCTAAAGATATTCATCTATTTAAGACAGTTGTAAATTTCTGAAAGGTAACTCAAATGCAGCATCCATGTAAAACACAAATGTCAGCGATTTCTTGAAAGTAAGTCAGAAGAGGTCATTGTTTGAAGTATTTCTGTAAGATTCTGTAGCCGCTGATGAAAGATTATTAGTCCCCAGTAGCTCCATCACTTGTGCTTTGTGCAAACTCTAAAGTTAAAGGTTATGAGTGCTATGGTACCATACAGGTGCACCATGAATAGTCTTTCACACAGAATGATTCTCATTTGTTAAATTTGGAAATGTACTTTCTCTTGGCCTTAATTTTCATGTAGTTCTTTGTATTCTAAATGGCAGCTGAAGGCAAGCAGAAATAGCGAGTAATTGATTTAACAACCTAAGACAAGTACAGGGAAGTCGAAAAGTTTGTCTTAGTGCTTGATGTGACCTGAGAGAGCTTCTTTCGACTCTTTTTTTCTAACCAGTACCTCAGCACCTTGGGCCAGCAAAGTGGCCTTTAAGCCTGAATGAGCATGACTTTTTTTTTTTCTCAGTGCAGAGCTCCAGTATTTCATCTTTTTAAACTGTTTTACAGCACTCAGAGCAGAATTATATTGACAAGGTTAGAATTCATCTCCTAGAGGAGAATACTGTGCTCCTGTTAAGTGCTAATATAACATTTATGTGTTGGTACCTTAATAACAACCCCAGCGAGCCTAATAAAAGTACTGAAAGCAAACAGTACTCCATGAGATTTTATTATGACTGAAGTGACTGCAATTTGAGACAAATTATCCCTGTTTTTGTTCCCATATCAAAAACAGAAATGCTAAAGCAATTGCTACATGTTTGGGATAGAATTACACTCCACTATCATTAATATAGAAGTAAGTGCATTTTTCATGTAAACAGCTCACGAGGGTCAAGCATTCAAGATATTCTGTGCAGACTTCTTGTCAATAACTTTGTGAGTGAATTTTGAAATAAAGTGCCTGGAACCTGTCATTATTTCTTCCTCTCAAAGTTGAGAGCGAGTGGATGAAAATTGAGCTTGTGAATTGAAGGTACTGCAAGTTATATGGCCTTATCGACTTCAGGCAAAATGGCAGGTTTGCCTTGTTATTATTTTCCTTTCAGAGGTCAAGCAATGGACAATATTACCAGTATATAGTGCTGTGTAAGCAAATTGGTATATAAAAAAGTTATTATCTGTGTACACAAAGAAGATGGTGTAAGTCACTAATATTAAAAATCCTTAGTATAGTGTCACTTTATAAAAACAGAGGAAAAATGGAGGAAAAAGGTAATCTGCTCATCAAAATAAGCATTTCAACTGTTCAGTTACTTGAAAGCTATTAAAAAACATCAGAAAAAAGGACCTCAGTTACTCAGAATTAGCTTACCAAGTTAGCTAATTAGACATGCTTGTTGATGTGAAATGAGCTCTGCTATTAAGAAAATACATTCTATTTTCTAAGAGGGTTTGGTCAAGATAATTCTGCTGTTCAGAACTGTCTGAACTATGTCTTTCCTTATCTGAACTGTGTCTTTAGTAGTCCAACTTTTAAAATAAACCTTAATGTGCTTTACTAGCTCATTTCTGTAGTTTTGGTAGTTACTACCACTTTTTATTCTTCAAACACCATTGGTACAGACTGTACCCTGTGCAAAAAGACTTTTAATTGCAGAATGAGTGCAAAATATGTTATGATCAGCTTTTTTTTTTTTTAGTGGTACAGGTATAGTAGTTGTTTAAGATTGTAAAATTGAGCAGATACTGTCAGACAAATTCGTAATTGCTCAAGATGACTTCTAAATAAGAAAGAAAGTTGAGGATAAAACTAGTCTCCACTACTGCACATATTTTTTTGAATATTTTAGCTAAATATGAGCAGCCTTAATTTCTACCAGCTCTGTAATATGGACAATATTTTGTTTATCTTTTAGGAAGAAGATTCAGAGACGTATCATGATGAAACTGCAGTGTGTGGGTTACTTGCTGTGGTGGTAATATCTCACCTGCCCAGAGATGCTGCCATTGAATGGCATGTTGTTGCAGTAGTTGATGATCCACTCCGAAGAAAACATTTTGCAATGAAGATGTTGTCAGAGGGCTTCCACATTGAGTGTGAATCTGTGGAGTCTAGTTCTGCATCTTGTGCATCAATCTCTTTACGTCTGAGTTTGATTTCACCATCCACTTCTCCCCTTGATTTAGATGGACCTCTTCATGACTTAGTTGCTATGTTTAAACAAGCTGTTGAGAAACTTTCAGGAGACTGCAGTGCGAGTCCTTTGTCCCTTAGAGCTTTCTTCAAGGAACATGTCTTTGATGTGGAAACACTACAAAAAGGTAAGACTTACCACAATATGAACCAGGTGTAATACTAAGCGTAAGGTAATTTTTGTTTACTTCTACATGAGATTTCATTGGAAGAAGACATTTTACAAGGGCCTTTCAAGAATAGGTGGCCAAGAAGGCCAATGGCATCCTGGCTTGTATCAGAAATGGTGTGGCCAACAGGACCAGGGAAGTGATTGTTCCCCTGTACTGGGCACTGGTGCAGCCACACCTTGAATCCTCTATTCAGTTTTGCGCCCCTCACTATGAGAAAGACATTGAGGTGCTGGAGAGTGTCCAAAGTGCAACAGAGCTGGTGAAGAGTCTAGAGAGGAAGTCATATGAGTGGCTGAGGGAGCTGGGGTTGTTTAACCTGAAGAAAAGGAGGCTCAGGGGGAATTTTATTGCTCTCTACAACTGCCTGAAAGGAGGTTGCAGTGAGGTGGGGTTTGGTCTCTTCTTCCATGCCCTCCAAACAACAGGACAAGAGGAAATGGTCTCAAGTTGCACCAGGGGAGTATTCGATTGTATATTAGGAATACTTTCTTCACCAGCCTTGGAACAGGCTACCCCAGGAAGTGGTGGAATCACCATCCCTGGAGGTGAATAAGAGATGTGTAGATTTGATGCTTAAGGAAACGGTTAAATGGTAGACCTGGCAGTGTTAGGTTTACAGCTGGACTCCATGATCTTGGAGTTCTTTTCCAACCAAACTATTCTATGACTCAGATACATTTGTTCTTTTTCGGGTTATCAGGCATGTTTCTCATATTGAAAGGCTCTGTTCTTGGACTTTTTGAGGTCCAAACAGGATAAAGTTCTGGATTACTTGTTCTAATCTCGCAGCTGAACTGACTTTGAGTAGGAGGTTGGATTAGATGGTTTTGCTTCAATCTGAGTTATTCTGTGATTCCATGAAATAGAAGTTTCTGAGAAGTCCAGCCACTTCAGGATTACACATAGAGGGAATTAATCTTTTGCATAAAAGTATTTGAACAGTTGTCCGTTTGGTAGCCTGTTTGGTAGTTTTTGTCATGATCTAGAACTATGTTCAGATAACCAATTCCTGTCTGCTAGCAGAAACTCTTTTGAGAATAAATAATTAAATAATAATGTTTTAAAATAAGGAAATGATGGTGTATCTTCTGAATTAGAGGATGTCTGATTTTGAACATGCACTGATTCCTTAGCAACTTATTTAAGGTAGAACTTGTTATCCAAACAAATTTGCTGAGTTTTACCCCAGTGTTTATTTTTTCAAAATCTCATTCCCTGACCAACTAAAGAGAATAGAGAGCAATAAATGTAATGTTACAACTACAGTTTATTTCTTATGTTGTAGGTCTGCATTTTGGGCTATGCTGAATTTGGGACAACTCTTATGCAAGAGCAAAAAAGATTATTTTATCTGTCAGGCCTATAAAACTGGTAGACCATACTGGTATTGAAATCAGTAAGAGCTTTGCTTTTAATTTGAGAAGGAGCAAAGTCAGATCCTTAGTCTATATTTATCTCAAACACGCATGCACTTTAAAAATCCTTGCAGACCACAACTGATCCATATTAATTAGCTGACATAAATGTTAGCCCTCAAAAATTCTACTGTCCTATTTTTTTTTCTTAACCTGCAGCAGTTTTTGAAGAAAATTCAACTTGACATGGTTTAATAGATTTAAAGTACAGGAATTGAAAGCTATAAAAATGTGGCATAGAATAAGCATATTTAATCCAGGAAGCTAGGAATGAACATATAGTCTGACAGAATGTTGTTGTTTTTACTACATCTTGTTTAAGAACTAAAAGGAAACCTGATAAAACATGTTCCTGGCATGGGATTAACATTACTGTTTTGCCTGCTTTCTTTCTGATATAGGCCATAGAAAAATTACTTCCAGACAAATTTCATTTGCTTTATAAAATATATTGTTCAATATAATGTAAAAATTGTGTGCATAAAAATTTTTTTCAGTTCCATTCATGTTATATTACAAATAGTATAGACATAGAAAGATTTGTTGTAATTGTCATATATTCATTTTTGTTGTGTTCAGATCTCTGCACTGTCATAATAATTGCTGTCATTATACCAATTTTATCATTATCCCAATGATAAGAAGTACATTTTTGCAAATCTGTAGATTGTATAGACTACATTAAATTTACAAGTAGCACTAATTCATTGATGGAGAATTTTAAAGTAACTTTTTTCTTCTTAGGAAAAATTTCCAGAAAGTTCATGTAATAGAAGGATAAATGTGACATATATTCAAAAATAATTTCTCAAATTAAAATAGTTGTTGCTGAAGTGTGCCTTGATGATAGTTTCTGTCTGATTCAAAAATGGAAGTCTAATTATTAATCTATTGTTAAGACACAGAGATATATTCAAATATTCTGGTAATATATGTTCTTGGAGCTTTGAAAGGCATTTAGTCACCAATGAAGCAACCTCAGCTTTCAAAGGGATGTGGCATATTCCTGAACAATGTCCTTGACTGGCTCTTGCACTATTATTATAATTCTACTTCTCATAATTTAAAATACACTCAGACATATATATTAACTCTGAGTTACAAAATCATTGTATGAGGTGTCCAATATGTTCCCATTAATTTCAGTATCCCATGGACAGTGTCCATAAGCAAGATGACATAGTCTATGTTTTATCTTCTCACTTATTATTGGCAGTCTAGTTTTGACAGGCAGAACTACTGCAAATGTGCATGTCCTTTAGCATGCTTCACAGTTTTAGTATACCAGAACTAATATCAGGTCTTTCTTTTGAATCCCAAGATATTTCAACCTGCCTATAACACCAGATGAAGGTGATTGTTAAGTTCTGATGACAACAGCTCCTTCCAGTTTCTCACAGTTTTCCTTTTGAGCCTTTTCTGCTTCTGGGATGTATCTGAATGGGGCAGAATGCATCTGAATGGGGTAGATTACAAGAAGGAACAGTACTGCCTTCCATAATAGCACTGGTTTGTGTCTTGTCAGCTCTGAGCATGGTTCAAAACTTGTGCATATCTGTCTCTGTAGATTTGTCCTAAGATATTTTGAGTATTTGGATGTCTCTGTGATGATTTCTACTACCTCCAAAGGTTACTTTCTGTAGTCAGGTAACAGAATGTACTTAAGCTACTGATGAGATAGTTGATAAAACTGCCTTTCAATCACAGAATATCATTTTTTACTGGGACATCGGATAAAGCAGAAATGTAAATCTGAAGGCCTAATACGTGGCTTTTTAAAAAAATATTGTTTCCTTGATGTGGCTACCAGAACACAAATTATATTGAAAGACCGGTTTTGCAATTGCCATTTATTAATTCAACTCAGGTAGTACAGGTTGCTACCCATCTGTATGATAATCCATAAGTGACACATTTGATCTCTGACACGCTAGACATTGTTAATCCCACAAGTAGATCTGTCCTTTTGGAGTCTTCAACTACCATCAGATGCATTATCTGCTGAAGAAAAATAATTTTAATAATGTAGCAGGGGATAATAGACTGCTTTTCAAATATTTTTAACGTGAAGCACATCAGACAGATGTATCTGTAATGGAAAAGAAATTATCATGTCTCAGAAATCAAGAGAGATGCTTGAGAAGAAAATTGTTCCAGGTTAGTGATTTTAAGGTGGATTTGCATCATCTTATAAGATTAGTAAATACTCTTCAATAATTCTTGTAAGATCTTGAATTGCAATGTGTTGACTCCTCAAAAGCATGGAAAAGAAATAAAGGTACCTTTTTTCTGATTACAACTTAAAATCATCAGAGTGAAAGGAGGAAATACTGCCACAGATCTTCTCAAATGAGCCTCTGATTAGATGAGTGCTTTTTTTGGTATAAAGAAATTGGCATTTATATAAAACTGTCCAAATAAATTAGAGAAATTTGTTGTTACCTGACAGAGTAAGATGAGAACCAGGAACATGTATACTCTGCATATTGTAAACAGATTATTGGAAATTATTATAGCTGGTGTTACTGATGTCAAAAGAACCTAAGGGTTTGTAATGCAAATTTGAGACAGATAGCTTTCTGTCATCCTAAGACCAGATGTAAAGTTTTATTGAACAAAGTGTAGTACTGATGTTGAACTTCTCAGAGGCAATCCCTCCTAACATACGAGAGCATTATGGGCCCCGTGCAGAGACCACAGAACGTATTAGAAGTAGGAGGATTAGACTAAGCTGACATATATACTTAGTAAGATGCTGTTAAGCCTTTGGAAGTCTTTAACATAAATTTGACTATTTCTTTCTTATTCTCATTCAAATGTGCATTAATACAAATGTGTCAGGATGATTTGCTATACCATCCAGTTGACTAGATTATACTTCCAGTTGACTAGATTATACTTCCGTATAGGAAAGATGAATGTTCATAAGTCATCACATTATGATTTCACAAGCCTTGTTCATAGGATGTATGTGAAGTATTTTTGAATATTTATTTGGGAGTAGGAAAGGTCCTACATTCACCAGAACATCATATTACATAATCCCTTTTTAATACTATGGAAAAAATGAACTGGGAATATAAAAAGGCAAAAGAAAACAGGAATAGACAGTCTGGTACCAGCATTAAAATGAATATATAATTAGTTTTTTAAAGTGACTCTACTCTGTAAATGTTTAGGTTTAAAAGGTTCTTAGTACTTATGTGTTTATCAAGTTTCAGTGATACTATAGGTTTTTTTATTCAGCTGGACTGTAGAAAGTCTTACTTGTAATGGGACTGTTTCTTCTGTTGAAAGAGAAGCTATGACACTCATTTAGAGTCCTTGCAATGACAGAGTAACACCCTGACGCATGGACAGCATGCAGCTTTTAAACTAAAGATTTTCCATCTGATAAGATTTAAAGTATACCATTTGTTAAAATACTGCATTATCAACACATTTTCCATATGCTTTCCAAAACACATAGGGTTTCCAGTACCGACAGATATGCCTTATGTAGTGCAAATCTAAGAGAAAGGGAAGAACACCAAGAGAAGA